TCTTTCAAGAGTTAGCTTCGTAATCTGTTAACATTTCAAAGTGTTTAACTCTTAATATTTTACTCTTTTCCTCACAAGTGATGGTGCTTCCATTGTTTTCCTCCCCCGGAGCTATTATATTTAAAAAGAAGAAAAGCACAACTTGAGATTTTTTTTGTTGTTACGGGTATTCAGCCTTCAGTTGCCGTCTGAGCTCTCTCATGGCCGTCTGAGTTTTCCCGCTGTCACCTTTTCGTATCTTGGGTCTCTATTCCAGCTTCCAGGTCTCGTTCTGCCATGTACCTCGTAGGAGCGCTGAGCTGCCTTGACAGTGCTGAGTTCTGAAGGTCAGCCCTCATGGAGCAGCTTCCTTGTCCACCCGGTGTCATTTGTAATGAGGTAGACTCTTCCCAGGCTAGGGCTTTCCCCCCACCTCCACTCAGCACATGGGGGAATCGCTCTGTACCTTTACAGGGACATCCTCACCCTTTGAGTCAACATGCCAGGGTCCATTACTTTAGCTTTTGATTTTGAAGGATGGCCCTGTCTCCTCTTCTGCCCCGTTCCTTGGTTCATTAACCAGCTTGAATTGTGTGCAAATGTTAGCCCCCTCTTTCCCACATCGTGTGTGTGAGAGAGGCTTGATCCCATGTGTGAGAGGCTTGGGTGCTGCTTTAGAAAGAAAGATGAGCTCTTCTAATTTGCATGACAGCGCACTATACTCCTTTCTCCAGGCAGACAAGTCTGCTTTGATACGCCAAAGACTCCCAGAAGCTTGCAGAGCCACTGGCATAGTGTCGAACCCCAGAGGGGTCAGGCACACCCCATGCCATCAGCATTTCCCAAGGTGCCGCCAGGTGCAGAGCCAGCCAGTGTTGGGCACAGTCTCAAGAGGGAAAAAAGGCAAAGACTCCCGAATGACAGACTCCCTGGTAGAAGAAGGGATCCCTGGCACCCAGACTTGGGGTCTCCTTGGAAGTCCTAGCTCATTTCAGAATTACAGCATGGCCTCTTGCTTGACCAATAGTCAAGCAGCTAGAACTAAGAGTGGCTCTTGTAAAAGCAAGTTGAGAAAGCCGCGCCATGTTGCCTGTAAGCACTTATGCCGGGCGCTTGTGCAATTGTCCCTGTTTTAGCAGGTCCTGGCACAAGGGTTAGCGGCCTGGTTGGTGCAGATGTGCTCCCCATACTTCTTCCTTCAGAGAGCAGTTTGGGGTCATTTATGGCAGCTAGCCAGTAGCATTCAGTATCCGTTGGGTAACCACATAGCAAGATCGCACAATGATACATCCAGTTGATCCTCAGTCTCCTAAACCAGAATGCACCTATCATAAAGAATAGATATTTATGAATAAGTTATACTTTCATCAAGGAGTATATGGGAAGATACATATATTGTCATTTTTAAAATTTTTTTGTAGAGGTTTTTGCCTTAGGGGCCCGTGTGTTCACCAGAGAGAGAAAGAGAGACAGAGACAGTGAGAGAGAAAGTGAGAAATCACCCCCTGGAGGGGGTGGAGGGGATGGCCACACCACAATCCCTTCTCCTTCATTCTCCTCCTGGGATCTTGGGCATGCATGCACATGTGCCCAGCATGAGTTTCAAGCCACTGGTCTGCCATGTGGGAGTCCAGTGACATAAATTACGTCACCTGCTGGTCCCCATTTCGTCAAAATGATTCGGTTATGATATTTACAAAGGACACTTTTGTGCGTTGTGTGTCATCATTCACCTGACAGAGCAAGAAAAGAGGAAAAGAGAGTTCATTTCTTGAAATAGATCAGAGATGCCACTGGTCTCTAAGTGACATCTCGACAGTTTGATTTGCATCTGCCCACAAGTGTTAGCCCAGATCTAACCAACCAGCTTACGCTTTGCAGCAAAACTATCCTTGTGTAGGTTTTGTTTCAGAAGAAGGCCACTGGGGGCTCTGAACATTCCTCAGATGTTATATTCTTTTCTTAGCTTTTTTGGCTGACTCTGCACAGTTGTGTAGAGCCCACACATAGGGGAACACCACAATCGTAGCATGGTTCTCCTCTTTTGCTGCTTGGGTATGAAACATACCTGCCTAAGGGTGCTAATCAGTCGTGCATTTCTTATGCAGACGGCTCATTTGAAACCAAACTGAGCACGCCTCTTTTCAGTTCTAGCATGACTTGCTTGAAGTAACAGCCAAATTCACCTCCTTTACCTAGTCCTGCACCGTCTGCTTTCTGACCGCTTTCACGGTCCAGTGTGGTCAAGTTCAGAGAAGAGGGTGCCACACAGCGATAGGAAAACACATGCTTTTCTTTCCCTTTCGAGTCTCTGCTCACTCCCCAAGCTGGACAATATTTGATTACGTTGTTTATTTCCTGCCTTAAACTAAAACTGGAACAGGAAATTGGCAGATAGAAGGAGGGTCATGTAGTCGTGAACACTGAAGTGGGTCAGAATTCTATTCTGGGTCAAATCCTTGAGTCCCAACAGATGTTGACAATTAGTGCTGACGGAGTAGAGCAAGTTTTCCTAAGTAAGACAAATAAATCAGACGTCCATGCATCTCTTCCTAGGGTCTGACAGCTCCTGGTTCTGACTGACCCGCGTGCAGCGACTGCCTCAAGGTTACACCCCATCATGGGATAGTTATTACAGGGCCTGCACGTCTTTCTCTGGAGAAGTTAGACAACACGGAAATGAAGCCTGGGGTTTCTTCCGGTTCTAGCATTCTGCAAGGCCACCATGAAATTATAGCTGCTAGAGACAAATAACATGTCATGTTTGGGCAATTAATCCTAACACATGTTTTGGGTTTCTTCCCATTTACAGGAAAAGCTCTGGTATTCCTTGGAGTACTTGATTCCTGTCAGATTGGTTTCTTTTCTTATTTGAAAACGAACAAAAAGGTTTTTAAAAAATTGGATTTTTTAAAAATTGTTCTTATCTATTCCACGCTTTCTTTAGGTGTTCGTACAATAAGTAGTGTGTTAATTGAGTAGATGGTACCTGGGAAGGTATTCTAGGTACGGTGACCACAGAATGAATGCGTAATCGGTTGATGGAGGAGGAAACATTAATTGTCTTCTTCATGGGATTCTCTTTGGGAGCCATTTTGAGTGACAGCTATGTTTTAGACCTTTGGAGAAACACAGTCTCAGATCCTACCAGAATATTTTTGTAAGAGAGGAAGATGGAAGATTCCAATAATCTAGAAACACTTAGCATGTATCTAAGACGTTGGCCCAGAAGTCCATGTCATGTTTCTTTTCAGTTTCTCAAGAAGGATGGTCAATAAAACTTAAAGGTGTGGTTAGATTTGTTTTTCACTTTCTTAATATTAATTTATGACTGAGTTTCATTCAGCCCAGTAATCTAAAATACTGTGCAAATTTTTTTTTAGCAGTATGTCTTCTATAACCTGGATGTTAGAATAGCCAATATGTACAAAAAAAATTAAATCAAGTATTTTGTCCTATGTATAACACAAATTAATTTTACACAGAGAAAGATGTTTCTAGGAAAATGAAATTCTGGTAATTCATACTATTTCTTTGTATGAACAAATAAAATATATTTTACCAACTTGTGGGTACTTTCATGTTTTAACATGTATTGAAAGTGGACAAGAATAGGCAACCATTTTTGAGAATAGTTATTTATTTCATTTTATTTATTATTAATATTACTTTTTATTTTCTATAGGGCATGTGTGCTCACGAGAGAGAGAGAGAGAGAGAGAAAGAGAGAGAGAGAGAGAGAAAGTGAGAAAGCAAACCACTAGGTCCAGAACTAGAACCGTGGTTGGTCACGTGGGAGTCCAGCACTTCAACCTCTATGACATATGCTGGTCCACAGGTAGCATTTTTTTTTATGTGGTGACTAATCACATATGAGTACACACACATACACACACACAGACATTCTGAGGGCATGCTGATCTTTTATATTGTAAAGGCTCTCATCTAAAATCCAACTGATCCACAGTTTGTGGGTAGATATTAAAAAAAAATTGTAAAGTTAATTTTTTCATGTCTTCCATGAGTGAGAAAGAGAGAGAAGAGAGATAGAAAGATAGCACCCCAAATAGGGTGTGATGCTCCCATCCCCCTGTAGCTCAGCCCGCCCCGGATCATAGGTACATACACACCCTGCAAGCTCAGGGAGGTCTCCAGGCACGAACCCGGAACCCTCCTGTGCGCATCAACCTTGAGCATCACTTTTTTGGCTACATCACAATCCAGCCAGTTGGGGCAGAGTTTTGGGAAGTGACTCTGAAGACTACAAGATGGGGAGAGGGGGACCCTGTGCCCCAGAGGATCATTTCCTGCCTCTGGAGGGAGGCTGCCTATTACATGGATTCCAAGAACACCACAGCTGTTGCTTGTTGTGTGCCACGAGTTCAGGCCCAGGTCAGTGTGTGTGGGGGGTCACGTGTCACGACAGGTGTGATGAGAGGTGGGCACCTATGGTTGGATAGAGTTGGAAAATGGCCACCTCCTTCTCCCACATTGGCAGCACTCTCGTGTTATGCAGAGATCCTTATCTGTGAGCTAGAAGCAGAGCAGGCTTGGACAGGAGGGCACTTCTGTATCTTTAGACCACCTGTTTTGTTTTCATCTAAGACCCCAGTTACAGGATTACTGTTGGCTACCTGAAACATTCCACTCACTCACTTACTCTACTTCGTGTTGAAAGGAAACATTGCAGTTTGAAAAGCCATGATTTGTTACTGTAAAGAGGAGGTCATCGTGTTTTTTTCTAAGCACAATGACAACAATGCAATACTACTAATTTTTTTAAAAAGATTTATTTATTTATTTATTTAATTCCATTTGTTATTATTGTTTTTTAATTTGACCAGATAGAGACAGAGAGAGAGAGAGAGAAAGGGAAAGCAAGAAAGCAAGGTCCAGGGCTCAAACCACAGTTGACATTTGGGAATCCAGCACCCCCAACTGCCACACCACCTGCTGGCCCCAACACTAT